ATCTCTGGGAAAAATTATATCTCATGGACATTAGATGTCGAAATTCATTTGGCGGCAAGGGGATTGGAAAAAACAATAATATCCCCAAATGATTCATCAATACAGGATAAAGCAAAAGCAATGATATTTCTGAGGCATCATTTGAATGAGACTTTGAAAAATGAATATTTAACTGTTAAAGATCCTGCGGATCTATGGAAAGCCTTGAAAGAAAGGTATGATCACCAGAAAACGGTGATTCTCCCCCGGCCTCGTTACGAATGGATGCATTTACGCTTCCAAGATTTCAAAACTGTTAACGAGTACAATTCGGCCATGTTCCGCATTTGTTCGGTATTGAAATTATGCGGAGAAAACATAACTGATTATGATATGCTGGAAAAAACGTTGTCCACGTTCCATGCCTCAAATGTACTATTGCAGCAACAATACAGAGCAAAAGGCTTTGTAAAATATTCTGAGTTGATTTCTTGTTTGCTGTTGGCTGAACAAAATAACGAGTTGTTGATGAAAAATCATGAATCTAGACCCACGGGGTCTACTGCGGTCCCTGAAATAAATGCTGTAATATCTAAACAGGGAACCGGAACTGAAAACAGCCAGACATATGTGCGTGGAAATACCTCGGGACGTGGCCGGGATCGTGGACGTGGACGTGGCCGTGGCCGTGGATATGGCCCAGATCGCCGCTTTGACCAAGGCTTCAAATTTTACCGAGGATATAACTCGGGTCGAGGGTATAATCGTGGACGAGGACGTAACTATGTCCAAAATTATGAAAAGGGGAGAAATTTCCAGCCAAAATTTGAACAAAATAATGTGACGGAAAATAATAATGAAAATGCATGTTATCGATGTGGAAAGACGGGGCATTGGGCACGAAACTGTCGTGCTCCGAAACACGTGGTTGACAAATATAATTATTTCTAGAAATCAAAAGATAAAAATGTAGAAACTAACTTTATAGTTGGGGAATCCTCTACAAATGATACAACACGTGTAGATGATGACTATGGCATCGATGACATGTTGAACCTAGATTTTGCTGATGCAGTATTTGAAGACAGAGCTGGAAATGATCAAGAGAATAACTGATGATCATGTTGTTGTTTTTATTACTTTCTAAGTTTTGTTGTATTTGTGTGTTTTTATCTGTATTTCGACTTTAATCAATAATAAATGTTGTTTTTCTTTTAGATCATGGATCGGTCTCGAATTCAAAATGGAGATATATGTCTTGCAGATTGTGCCACAACTCATACTATACTCAAGGACAAAAAATATTTTGTCAACTTGAAATTAAATAAAGCAAAAGTAAACACAATATCTGGAAATGCATAGATAATTGAGGGTTCTGGAAAAGCCATATTTTTAATGATGGGAGGTACAAAGTTTACATTGAATGATGCATTATTCTCCCCGAAATCAACAAGAAACTTGTTGAGTTTTAAAGATATCCGAATGAACGGATACCATGTTGAAACAATGAATGAAGGGGGAGTTGAATATCTTTGCATTACCTCAAATGTTGCGGGAAATAAATGTGTTTTGGAGAAATTGCCAGCTTTATCATCGGGCTTATATTACACCCGCATTTATATTATTGAGACTTATGCTGCAACAAAGTCACAGGCGAATGAAGTGTTTAAACTTTGGCATGATAGACTTGGTCATCCTGGCTCGATAATGATGCGAAGAATTATTGAAAATTCTAGTGGACATCCGTTAAAAAATCAGAGGATATTGCAAACA